GGCGCTGCCACCGCCCCCTCACCTGTCACCCCGGTGACAGAGGCGGGGCCCTGGCGCTGGCCGTCGTGGAAGCCATACAGGTGCATCTTGTACTTGTGGTCCGGCTCCAGGCCTGAGATGGTGACCCCGTCCTCATGTCCTGGCACCCGTACCGCCTTGGGCTGCCCGTCCCCGTTCTTGTACTGGACCAGGAAGTGGTCAAACTGGCCCTGGGGGACGGTCCAGGACAGGCTCAGCGAGTCCGGGGAGGATCCCGTCACCGTCAGCTCCCCGAGTCGAGGCTTCACGGGGGGGCCGGCAGGGGGCTCGGCTTTGGGGGCTGGAAGAGAGGCAGACAAGCTCTCCTGTTGCTGGAAGAGCTGGGAGACCCCCACCCTCCTGGTTCAGGCCAGAAGGGGCCGGCTCTGGCCTGACAAGACCTCTTTCTGGTTATGATCACCCAAGTCTTTCCTTTTGGTCCGTCTGACAGGCCAGGCTCCTGCTGCGGGGCCTTGCCTATTCCCTCTGCCCACATGCTCCTTCCCCAGATGCCTTCACGGCTCATGTCGATGCTCCTTTAAGTCCTGTTCAAATGTCACTTTCTCTTCAGGACCTCCCACCTATTTAAAGTTTCAATCCTCCCAATTGGAACCTACCATCCTTTTTAAAAAATTATTATTTTTAAAAATAATTCTTTATTGTTGGAAGTATTACATAGGTCCCCTTTTCCCCCTATAGACCTCCTCCAGCCTGCCCCCGCTCCCCACCCAGGCCCTCACCACCCCACTGTCTGTGTCCACGGGCCATGCATATATGCATGAAGGTCTTGGTTGATTACCTCCCACCCTCCTCTGCCTTCGCTCTGAGGTCCCCCACTCTGTTCCAGGCTTCCATGTCTCTCGATCCACTCCGTTCATCAGTTTATTTTGTTACTTAGATTCCACATATGAGTAAGATCATGTGATGCTTGTCTTTCTCTGACTTATTTCACTTAGCGTGATACTCTCCAGGTCCCTCCATGCTGTCTCAAAGGGTAAGAGATTCTTTTTTTACTGCTGCATAATATTGCATGGTATAAATGTACCACACCTTTTTTCCATCATCTACTTAGGGGCAGGGGCGCTGTTTCCAGATCTTAGTTATTGTAAATTGTGCTGCTATGAACAGAGGGGTGCATACATTTTTTCTGATTGGTGTTTCGGGTTTCTTAGGATATATTCCTAGAGGTGGGATCCCTGGGTCAAATCTTAGCATAATACTCTCCAGGTCCCTCCATGCTGTCTCAAAGGGTAAGAGATCCTTTCTTTTACTGCTGCATAGTATTCCCTGGTGTAGATGTACCACAGCTTTTTATCCACTCATCTACTGATGGGCACTTGGGCTGTTTCCAGATCTTAGTTATTGTAAATTGTGCTGCTATTGTCCTGAATTGTGTAGGGGTGCACACATTCTTTCTGGTGTTTCTGATTTCTTAGGCTATATTCCTAGAAGTGGGGTCACTGGATCAGATGGCAGTTCCCCAATTTTTTGAGGAAACTCCATACTGTTTTCCATAGTGGCTGCACCAGTCTGCATTCCCACCAGTAGTGCACAGGGGTTCCCTTTCTCCACATCCTCACCAGCACTTGTCATTTGCGGATTTGTTGATGGTAGCCATTCTGACAGGTGTGAGGTGATAACTTATTGTTGTTCTAATTTGCATTTCTCTGATGATCAGTAACATTGCGAATTTTTCATATGTTTCTTGGCCATCCGTATGTCCACTTTGGAGAAGTATCTATTTGGGTCCTTTGCCAATTACTTAATTGGATTGTTTGTCCTCCTTTTGTTAAGTTGTATGAGTTCCTTATATATTTTGGAGATCAACCCTTTATTAGATGAATCATTGCCAACTATGTTCTCCCCTGCAGTGGGCTTTCTTGTTGTTTTGTTGATGGTTTCTTTTGCTGTGCAGAAGCTTTTTATTTTGATGTAGTCCCACTTGTTTATTTTCTCTTTAGTTTCCTTTGCCCTAGGAGATGTATCTGTAAACATGCTATGAGAGATGTCTGAGATTATGTTGCCTATGGTTTCTTCTAGGATTTCTATGGTTTCACGACTTACATTTAAGTCTTTTATCCATTTTGAGTTTATTCTTGTGTATGCTGTAAGTTGGTGGTCTAGTTTCATTTTTTTTTTTTTTTGGCATGTATCTGTCCAATTTTCCCAGCAGCATTTATTGAAGAGATTGTCTCGACTCCATTATATGCTCTTGCCTCCTTTGTCAAATATTAATTAAGCATAATGGCTTAGTTCGATTTCTGGGGTCGCTATTCTGCTCCATTGATCTATATGCCTGTTCTTGTGCCAGTACCAGGCTGTTTTGATTATGGTGGCTTTGTAGTATAACTTGATATCTGGTATAGCGATTCCTCCAATTTTGTTCTTCTTTCTCAAGGTTGCTGTAGCTATTCAGGGTCTTTTTTGGTTCCATATAAATTTTTGGAGTATTTTTTCTTGATCTGTGTAATATGCTGTTGGCATTTTAATAGGGATTGCATTGAATCTGTAGATTGCCTTGGGTAGCATGGACATTTAATGAGGTTGATTCTACCAATCCATGAACACAGTATATTTTCCCACTTGTTTATATCTTCTATCTCTTTTTTCAAATTCCTATAGTTTTCTGAGTACAAGTCTTTTACCTCCTTGGTTAAGTTTATTCCTATGTATCTTAATTGTTATTGTTGCAGTGGTAAATGGGGTTGTTTGTTTAATTTCTCTTTCTGAACTTCATTAT